TAGACATCACGATTTCTGTGTCATCCACCCGGCAAGGTTTCTTCTCCATCGCCGTCTCCAACTTCGGTTGTAGGAGACGCCTCCAAAACCTGCGTGGGGACATAGTGATCCCTATTTCTGATTCACCTGCACGGCGTCGATGTTTTACAGACAGTTTTCATTCAACATTGTACGGAATCGTTGGCTCGTCTTCGTCCGATGTCTGGCAGTCGTACAGCAGTGTTACGGGGGCTTTTCCTGCAGGTCGCAGGCGGCTCCTCGGAGCAGTAGAAACATTTTGAGACACCTCGTCGTCAGAAGTCAAGTGGCTTTGACAATCATCCGCATCGCTTGGCCAGTTGTCAGATTAGCTCATGGTCACGCATGCATAAGACGCCAGAAGATGCCTCGTCGCTTCTCGCAAGTGCATACCAAACCCGGCCTCAGCGTTCTTTGCAACGTGTCCATAGGTTTCCTCCGCCATCCACGGCCCACTTCTTCAGGCATCACGTGAATAATCATCCCTGTAGTAGTTATCACCCAGCATTTGTCTAGAGACGTTTCATAGAAGAGCTATTCTGACAAAATAATTATTTTGGCATTGAAGCGAGAGATGGAGGGGATAATCGAAACTTTATCGAGTTAAAATGGATCTTATTACAGCGGCGCCAAGGCTCAGGCGACCTGGGGTTGCCACTGCGACCTCATTTATGCAGAAACCGACGGCGCAGAGGGTACCCTAGCTAAAAATAAAAAGCAGGTACTCATAGAATAATCGCACTGTGTCGCCATTTTTAGGCACGAAGAAATCGCCCACTTTGCATGCCCATTTTTGGCTTTTTAGCGCCAAGCCTAATTTTTTAAAGAGAGTCGTAGCGGACGCTAGTTATGCTCAAAACAATACTAGCAATGATAACAGTATACTAAAAGGCCAGATTTAGGGCCTAGAAACTATATAAAGCAGCATGAATCCCGACTTATACAGTATGCTTCTACGGCAGCAATAACGACGCACAATGCTCGCTGCTATTGCTCGTTTAGTCCTCTTTGTAGCAGCCGTAAGCGCCGTATCCGACTTAAAGCCTCTATCTGCTGAAATTGCCAACGCCGATCTGGGAACTGCCCACGTCCGCGCCGTTGACCCTCCGGCGCCGACGGGCCAGGCCCAGCCTGTCGATGCTCACGGCCCTGAATTCTTCACTATTAGTCTTTCCATTCTCCATACAGCGGCAGTCACTACTGTTCACGTTGAAGGGGCTGGCTCGAAAGAACCGGTCGGAGGTCGTCTCGCCCCGGGCACTCTAGCCGACAATGGCGTGACCCAATTCATCGTACCACGCGACTACTATGGAAACATTGCTTTTAATAATGCTGAATTGTAAGTATACTATGCATACTAGCTGATTTTTGGCTTTAACACTGTTACCATGTAGCCGAGCGGACACCGGTGATGAGTCCCTTCTCGAGTTTAGCTTTACAAACCAGAACGGCATTTATACTCCAGACATTGATGTCAGCTACGTGTAAGCGCTTCATAATGTTGGAGATGTGTAATGAGGCGATAGAAGTCTAAAGTTGACAGTAGCGATGGTTTCTCGGTTCCTATATCTTGCTTTTGTATAAACGAAGGCCCACACTATTCAGGATGCGCCAAAGATCTTTGGTCCCTCAACCCATGCCCGGTAGGTCACCCGAAAGACAACATTGATATCCAAGATAGTGTTGAATCTAATCGTTTCATCTACTGCACCTGCTAACGCAATAATTCAGGACAATAACGGCCAGGGATCTTGTAGAAATCCTAGACTTCACAACGCAATCCAAAATCCGACCGAGTTCTTCGCGCCTTGCTACCGTTATGGAGGGGCATACACTTTTCCTGCTGATAATGAGGCCAACACACTAAATGGAGGTCTCTGCAGAGACTCTGTCGGCGCTACGTGCTGTATCGGTAACCTTTGCAGGGAGTGGGACGACCGCCCCCGCTAGAAGCGAAAAGATCGGACAGTACATTTGCTAGCATTTTACACTATACTCATCAGGAATCTTTAATCGAGTTCCGGGTTTAGACTCCCTCCGTCTATGCCTTTAACAAGTGTAATCCGGATCAACTATTTAGGTGGAGATACAATCGACGCGAGGCTCTAGAGACACTAACTTTCTATTAATGACCAGTAGGTACACTAGAAGGCAGATACAATGTCCCTTTCTTGTTAATTAACTTATTAAAAAGTGGGTGGGTCTTCTGTTGGCGGATGGAGTCATCAGGTACCATGTACTAGCGTAATGATTCTGAGCAACATTAAAATATGAAGGCAGGAACGGAATGAATGGCTAAATCCGACGGCCTGTTTCCACTGCTTAAAGTCTTAGATACTAAGTGGGTACTTAGCGGGCGCTTGACGGCAGCTAGAATGGCTGCTAATTACTATTCTTAATTAACGAAAAGGGGGACATTGGTTTCGCCTTTCTCTGTAGCAGGAAGTAGCGTTATCATTATTTAGTGACTCTGTGCGGCACATTTGAGTTGAACCCAATTTTCGAGGTTGAAATCCAAATCAGGCGGTGGGGCAGGCGCGGGTGCGCTTGTCTCGGCATAATCAGGCCACTGACCAAAGCTGGCTATAATCAGTTTGCGGACGCTAAACAGGGACTACCACCCAGTTCAGTGTCCCCCAATTTCGATGTAAAAAGTCCAAACTAGGCGGGTGGGGCTGGCGCGGGGAGCCTGCTCAGCATAATTAGGCCACTGACTAAGAATTGGAGTTTACAGACGCTATGGACTACCCTGTACACAACCACCCCATCAATTAGACACGGCCGGATACGGCTTCGCCGTATTCCACCATGGACAACTTCTGGATTGGGGTTCCGGACAGCTAGGACGACGAGAAGTATTCGACGCCGAAATACACGGCGCGCTTGCTGGACTGAAAGCGGCCATGCAACAGAACAGCCGCCTCGAGCCGATCACAGTCTGCATGGACAACACGTCCGTGATCGACTGCATCGGAGCGACAGCGGCAGACTCTTCGCAGGCCTGCTTCCGAGGATTCCAAAAGATCGGAGACAAACATCCGTATCTGATCTCAG